GGATGGGTGGATGGATGGGTGGGTGGGTGGGTGAATGGGTGGATGGATGGGTGGGTGGGTGGGTGGGTGGATGGATGGACGGGTGGGTGGGTGAATGAGTGGGTGGATGAATGAGTGGATGGGTGGATGGATGGGTGGGTGGGTGGATGGATGGGTGGATGGGTGGGTGAATGGGTGAATGGACGAGTGGGTGGGTGGGTGGGTGGATGGATGGATGGGTGGGTGGGTGGATGGATGGATGGGTGGATGAATGAGTGGATGGATGGGTGGGTGGATAGGTGGGTGCGTGGGTGGATGGATGAACAGATGGATGGGTGGGTGGGTGGATGGGTGGTGGATGTTTGGATGGTGGATGGGTAGAATTTAAAAGCTTGGACTATTGTTGCTTTCCTCACCTTGCTGGTTCCAGTTGTACCCTTGTCCAGGGATGAGCACCTGGTCTCTTGTGACCATGGTAACACAGTCAGGTCCGGAGGAGCCTCATGCATGCGTGGCCCCTTCTGTCCATCCACCTGCTCTACTGGGACCAGATCTATGTGCATGTATATAGGGCTCAGGATGGAGACCAGGGCCTCCCCACGCAGCTTGCATTGACAGTCAGTTTGAAATGTCCCAGGACCAGGCTGGAGAGATGGCTCAGTGGTTTAGAGCATTGCCTGCTCTTCCAAAGGTCCTGAGTTCAATTCCCAGCAACCACATGGTGGCTCACAACCATCTGTAATGAGATATGGCCTACAGGCATACACACAGACAGAATATTGTATACATAATAAATATATATATATATATAAAAAGAAATGTCTCAGGTCCACCTGGGAGGGAGTCTCAGTAGAGGACCGTGTGGATCAGGGTGGCTGTGGACCAGTACTGAGGCAAACTCTTTGTGTCTTATTGCTGTCCTTTGTCTGAGTTTCTGACACCCTCACACAGACACATGCAGGTAAAGCACCAATGATCATAAAAATAAATTTAAAATAACTTATGCCAGGCCATGGTGGCACACACCTTTAATTTGTTTTTATTTTTTAAACTTTATTTAGCTTTATTTCATGTGTGTTGGTATAATGATGTCAGATTCTCTTGAACTGGAGCTACAGACAGCTGCAAGCTGCCATATGGGTGCTGGGAATTGAACTGGGTTCTCTGGAGGAGCAGTCAGTGCTCTTAGCCACTGAGCCATCTCACCAGCCCCCACACCTTTAATTTAAAGATCTGTTTTTTTTGGGTTTTTGGTTTTTCAAGACAGGGTTTCTTTGTGTAGCCCTGGCTATCCTGGAACTTCCTCTGTATACCAGACTGGCCTAGAACTCACATCGATTCACCTGCCTCTGCCTTCCTAACTGCTTGGTTTAAAGGGGTGCACCACCGCCGCCTGGCTCTTATTTTTATTTTTAATTATGTGTATGAGTGCATCTCTGTGTGTACCAGTTCTAACGAAGGCCAGAAGAGGGAGTAGACTCCAGAGCGTCAGTTACAGATCTGAAGTGCTGGCTGAGACCTGGACTCAGGGCCCTGCAAGAGCAGCAAGTGCTGCCTCCAGCTTTGACCCTGAAATTTTTTTTCTCCTAGATTCTGAGGCCCCCAAAGTCATTCTGATTTTGGATGTTTCCATGGCACTTGTCTTTCCTTTTCGGAAGCTTTAGGAAATTTCTGTCTGTTCCCAGAGATGTGTCTGTCTGTTTCTACTTGTTCACTCCTTCTGGTCTCTTCCTCTCTTCCTCTCCAGGGAGCAAGGGTTGCTTGGTGATAGCTGCAAGTTCATCACCATGGGGAAGAGAGGCTGTAGGCGCTAGGGGAGATGTTCACACCACATTCAGTCAGAAGTCAGTGAAGGCATGCATGCTGGGACTCAGCTAAGTTTCCACCATCAGCCCAGGATCCAGCCTAGGGGCCGGGCCACCCATAGCGGGCAGGCTTTCCCACTCCCTAGACAAACCAAGACACTCAGCTCCTGGGTGATTCTAGGGTCTGTCAGTCTGACAGTTACTTTAACCATCACACCTATGCATTTACATTACATTTTATCTTATTTATTACTGTTGTGGTGTGTGTGTGTGTGTGTGTGTGTGTGTGTGTGATGTGCGTGTGGATACACTGGCCATGGTGCACACGGAGCGGAGCTCAAAGAACATTGTTTTAGATTTGCTTCTCTTCTTCTACCTCTGTGCAAGTTCCAAGGATTGAACTTTGGTCACTAGGCCTGGGTGGCAAGTTCTTTTACCCTCTTCCCTCCCTTATTTGATCATCTGTTTGATCTGGTTGTGAATGTCATTGAGACCCGATGACAAACATGCTAACTCCAATTTGTAGGCCTTCTACCTCTGAGCCCCACTCCCAGCCCCTCCCTGGGGGGTTCTAGGCTAGCAGAAGACAAGGGCTGTGAACTCAGCGTCCTCTGCTCCTGAGATGGTCAGACCTGTGACTTGCTTGCTGAGACCTGATGTAGAGCTCATGGCCTTAGAGTCAACCATCTCACAGTCAGGAGTCCCATCCTGTCCCCAGCAGTCCCCAGGTGGGACCATGGCACGGCAGGGGGCTAGGCCCTCCGTACTTGGGGTCATGTTGGGATTGCAGTAGGAAGCTGGGACTGGTCACCCCGGGAGGGAGGGAGGCTTTGCTGGAGGGATTGACTGTGACATGCTTGTGTTAACTAGATGCCATCGCTTGGCTCCGTCCTCCGTTTGTGGCTGCCTATCTCCCCCCACCCCGGTCCTGTTCACACTGCTAACGACCCTTCTCTTCCTTCTTCTCCCCTTTCCCTTTTCTCCATCCTCTGAACCTTTCCAATGTGTGCCCTCTGCTCCCTGACTCGGTCTGGCTCTGGTACCCTGCACCTCCCTGGCCCCGTGCTCCGGTCCCCGCCCCCCCCCCCCCCCCCCCCCCCCGTGGTGTCCTCTCTCACCCCTGTCCCTCCTACAGCCTGCAAGCGCAAGGAGCAGGATCAGCAGAAGGACAGGGCTCTGCAGCCCAAGAAACAGCGGCTGGTGTTCACGGACCTGCAGCGCCGCACACTGATTGCCATCTTCAAGGAGAACAAGCGGCCGTCCAAGGAGATGCAGGCCACCATCTCACAGCAGCTGGGCCTGGAGCTCAACACCGTCAGCAACTTCTTCATGAACGCCCGACGCCGCTGCATGAACCGCTGGGCTGAGGAGCCCGGTGCCACTCCGGGCACCGCGACAGCCACTGCCACCTTCTCCAAGGCCTGAGCCTTCCACCCCCCACCCCCACCCCAGCCCCAGGGAATCGCACACCCCAGCCCTGGGGATGGGGGCCCCTCCCCCACCCAGCCAAAGGAAGTCCCACCCACCCCCAGGGGACAGGGACCCACCCCAGCCCCCTTCAGTTTTGGACACTAAGGGGACCTCGAGGGAAGAGTGGGTCAAGAATCAAGCACACCTTACAAACAAAACCCGGGTATTTAAAAAAAAATTAAATAGAGAACCTTTCCTTCCCAGATCCCAGACCTCCTCAAAAAGGGGAAAGCAGACAGCTGCCTGCCACCCCCCACCTTTCTCCTCCAGCCCAGGTCTCTGTCCCCTTGCCCCTTCCCAGGAACTGAGACTCGTCCCAAGTGGCCAAAAACCGACAATAAGCCGGATCCTTACAACACCCATCCCCAAACCTTGCTCCAAACCCAGCCCTCTCTCCGGGCAGGAAAGTCCCTCACCGCGGAGACCCTGGCCGCCACCCCCACCTCAGCGGCCTGCGAATCCTGTGCCAACAATCCCCTGCCTTAAGCCGGGGAGGGGAGCTACGGGAGCCCCCTGTCTCCAAGGAGACAGTGGCTGATGTGGAGATGAGGGCCGCCATGGCCGCCTCGCCTCAGCGCCCCTGGTTGAGTTCACTATGAGCACCTTGCTACGTGAAGAAAGCTACACAGGGAACGAGGTCACCAGAAAGCAAAAAACGACACCCCAGATCTTGGGGGCACACCAGAGTCTCCAGTTCCGGGGACCCTTGGATGCAAAGCTCTGGAAATCTCTGGAACTCATCACCTGGTTTCTGGTTGCTTGGGGGTGCCCACGTGGGCACCCCACACACCAGAAGACATTCGGGGGTATGCCTCGCCTTGGTGAAGCCTCTCTCAGAGGAGGAAGTGGAAAACTGCTCGCTCCGTTGTTTGCCAAAAAATGTACAATGGGGAAGGGTCAGAAGCAAGGGGGCACCCCCACCCCGCTGCTCAGTCCTCCCCTCGCCTGGGAGCCAGATCCAGGAGGCTGCCTCTCCCCCTCCCCGTCTGGGGGCTCAAGATCCTGGGAACTACTCTCTTCTGAACCCTATCCCATGGCTGCTCCCAGGAAGGGCGCACCATCAGTTTCCCTAGAGAATGCAAGAGACCTTTCTAGTGAGAAGAAGAAAAGGAACCTCCCGTCCTGTAAAGGCTACCTCACTGAGTCCATGCTGTGATTCAAATATCACGTCTGATACCAAAGATTCCCCCACCCCCAAGGGTTTGTGCTGGAAGCCAGGGTGTCCCCATCCTCACCCCATGGCTGTCCCCACCCGAGAGAGAGAGAGAGAGAGAGAGAGAGAGAGAGAGAGAGAGAGAGAGAGAG